TGGGCTTTGCAGATGGAAGGTTTGCATTTAAACCCTTCTTTGACAGTGACACTCAGAATGATCTTGGTTTGAAGTAGTAGCTGGTATTGTGGGACTGTGTGCTCCTTAGCTAAAGGAAGACTGTGAACTTCGTTCCTCACAGTGTGCCAAATTTTTATTTCACAGTGTGAAATATACAGATTATAAATAAGGTAGCTGAAGCTTAAGAATGTAAGTGATTTGGCCTATGTCTTAATGGAGTGGTAAGAGGCAAAGCCAGAATTAAGCCTCAAAATGGATCTCAAAGCCCATGGTCTTTACTATTATGTGACAGTCCTAGATTTCTTTGAATTGTGCTTATTAATAACCCTTTTATACTAATAGATAGTGTTAATGGTAGAATTATTTCCGTATCATTATGCAGAATTAGGTGACTCCCATAAATGTGAGTTTGATGTTTTTTTCTTTTTGTGCAGTCTTTCATACACCAGCAAACTTGTGAAAACCTTATTGTATAATTTCATCAGACAAGAAAAGCCACCTCCTCCGGGAGCCAGTGTTTTCCCTCAGCAGTCGGATGGGGGAGGACTGCTTTATGGACTTGCATCAGGAGTAGCAAGTAAGTCTTATCAGACTCTTTCAATTCTTTGGTGGACATAAATTTTGTCTAATCAGGCGTAAGAAATTCTGTTCACTTGGCTACTGCCAATAGCAGTTGTATTGGAGTTGTACAGCTGGCTAAATACCGAAAGTAATTTAAGATATTAATTTTTCCATTCTGTGCAGTGGTTATGTTAAATATATGCAAATAATGAATAGATTACTGCAAAATACCATTTTTCAAGACGAATGTTTACACATAAATATGCATATTGCTTGAGTTCTGTCTACACAGTAAAAATAAAATTAAGCCTTTGGAAACTTTTTACTGCTTCTGCTTGTGTTACAAGAGGAGATCTTTCTGTGTTGGGGGCTTTGTTGGTTAGGATTTTATATGACTAATTAGGCATAGTTTCCTAATATACTCAGTGCTTTGTCTGATTGACAAATTAGCACATTTGAAGAGTTTTATAGTAAACTGTGAAGTGGCACAAACTTGAGTTTTGTCAGATTGGGA